TGGAGGTTGATGAGGAACCAATCGAACCTGGTCAATAATGAAAATTTCATTTGTAAAATTTGGTAGGTATCCTTTTTGGAAAATATGTTTATATTTTTCTATACGAACATTATCCCCAACAGAAAATCTTTTATTTTTCCAACTTGATGGCGCATGTTTTGCAACAGCCTTTTGTTTTAATAATAATCGCAAACTTTCTGCATTTTTATAATTCACATCAATAGGTCTCATGCCAATACTAGAGTTAAAAGAACGATTAATGGACAAAACAATTTTCTGGATAACGTCTAACCATTTTAAAGTTTTATTCTCTGTAAAATAACGGTAAAGTCGCTCTTTGATACTACGATTAGCCCTCTCAGCCATTCCTGCATGCCATACTGGGGAGGTGAGCATTGAAAAGTGTTCCATTTCTATTGAGCGAAAATATTTTTGTACAAATTTTGCAGTAAATTCTAATCCTTGATCTGTTAAAAGTTTCCAGGGTATTATTCCGACCCGAGAAAATAATTTTTTAAAAGCTTCGATCATATTATTACTATGTTTACTTTTTACTGGTTCAACAAATATTTGTCGACTAAGCGTATCAATACATACTAATAAATATTTGTATCCACGATTATGTTTACTAATTTTATCAAAAACACTAAGATCGGCTTGCCATTCTGTGTGTAAGCCTGGAGCTAGTGTTGGCATGCGCTTATACTTTCTAATTACTCTTCTATGTAATGTATAAACATTTTGGCTTGCAAGGTAATCTCTCACAATATTTCGAGAAATACTTTTATCTAATCGCCTTGCTTCCTTTAAAAGCGGTTCAACGGATGTAAAACATGAAGTCGAATTAACATTCTTGTATAACTTGTCAAGAATTTTAATTTTGTTTTTATTTAATTTTGCCATAATGTTGGTTTATATGAAAAGGTGTGTTTAAAAAATCCTTCGCCTTCCTGTTTGCTAGTTGAAGATTTAGAAGGAAAAAGTATATTTTGTAAAATTGAATGACTATTTATTCTACGAATAAACTCATCATAACCGGTAGGGATTGGCCTTTTGCGTTTTCCCTTATTTTTAATTATATAGCTTAAAATCTCTTCAATATTACTTGTGACAAAGGATTCTTGAGTACCTAATCTCCTGGCTAACTTACCACTGGGCAATATGCCAAGTTCATTAGCATGATCTCTTAAATATTGACGAGCTTCTTCTTTAGGATTCGTTTCACCATCTGCTGAAAAGAATTCTTCACCCTCTTCATTCTCAATTCCATCAGAATTTTCTATCTTTACTGTTTGATTTGGAAATTTGACTCTCCTTCTTAATGTAACTTTACCAATTGAGTTTCTTTTTGGTTTTCTTATTATAATTTTTCTAGAATTTTTATTTTTAATAATCTCGTCTTTTGTTTCCACTGGGCTTTTATTTAAATCGACATTTTTAGTTACGGCATCAGCAATTTCTTCAAAATTTTTGAGTTTCACATCAATAGGTTTCTCTTCTTTCTCTTTAATAAGTTTGTTATATCTTTTAAAATCCTGCTCGTAACGAGCTGCTCTTGTTGTAGGATCTAATGAATTATTGATTGCACTACTGTTTTGTAAACGTTCTTTTATTAACCCTAAGGCCGTCCCGTCTCCATTCCCATCAATTTTATCACTACTTACTAAACTTTCATAAAAATCCTCAGGAATTAATATCATTCGCTTCATTGTTAATTACAATTTATATTATCAAATTTTATTTATATTATTTAAAAACTTTGTCTGTAATTAAAGGTAAAACTAAACTTGCAAGAATACCCGCTAAAGGATAAATCCCGTTTCCTTGTTGCAATAAACATCGTGTTGAGGAAGCACTTCTAGATCTACTGATTTTCCTCAATATATTTGCATGTTTTTGCAAATTAATAATTCTATTTCTATGAAAAGGTAAACGCCCCTTTAATAAATTAAAACAGATTTCAACGAAGCATAACAACTGTTCAGCGGATGCATTTAATAATATATCATTCAGTACCTTTCTAGATTTTTTAGATTCGCAAACTGAATTTAAGAAATTTACATTTTTCTCAATTAATTTGCTTGTAGAAATTTTTTTATTCATTTTGGAATATAAACTATAGTTTTTTCTCCCGTATTATAATATATATGTGTTCGAAGTCGTAAAAAGTCAGGAGTGCTAGGATGTATATCGACTAACAAATATCCAAAGTTTTCTTTTGTAGCATCAGAATATGATTCCAGAAAGTATCTCGATCTGGAGGGGAACAATTGTGTTGCAAGTGTTCTAATTTGTAAAGCTCCTGCCGGATTTCGCATTAATAAAAGATAATGAGAATTATTACGGGCAACTTTTAATTCTTTACTGAATAAATGTTGTGTTATTAATATAACACTCATTTGCCAGTTATGCGAACCCTTAGTGAATATTGTATCTAAAAATATTTGGTTCATCCCAACCATTAAATCATCTAACACTAGTAACATTCTTCCATGCCTTGCTTGGTGTTTTATAAATTCATTTCCCCCATTAGGCAACTCATTATGAACAATAACTTGTGTTTTACCTTTATTTACAAAACCCTTACGTTGCATATTTATAATATTAGAATTTAATTCACCATAACAATAAAAGACTAAATCAATTTGATTATGTTTTTCATTTTCATAAGTAACCATTTCCTCTAAATTTTCTAGCAAATTTTTAACCCATTCTGATTTTCCAGACCCTGTGCTTCCGGATACTATCATAGTGAACGGGTGTTTAAAACAAGTGTGCATAATATTAACTTTTTCAAATCCATTCATTTTTATCTAATATAACAAATTAAATTCAGAATATTATATATAGAAAGATTGAATTTTATTATTATTTGAAATTATGGAATTTTATAATATCATGCCTTGGGGTGTTATTGAAGATGATGCGCCTCCGTCAAATACAAGTCGCACAACAAATCAAGCTAATCAAGAAGTCAAAGATGCAGATAAAAAGGTACAAATATTTTTATGAATAAATTAAAACAAAGCTCATTTTTAGAAAGAAATAGATGTGATTACACCTGCTTTTGGATTGCTTAACATTGTGGATGAACTAATCGAAGAAAAGGAAGATGAGGTTGAAGATGAAAAAAATCAAGATACAAGTGAGAAAATACTTCGTATGGTTATAGACGATGATGAGGATAAACCATTAGATTGGAATGTTGAACCAGAAAATCCATTTCGTGAACCAACACCACAACCACCAACTACAACCATACGATCTTTTAATGAAATAACAACTAAGCAACGTGTTCGAACAAATAAAGTCTCTATTCCTTTACTTGACTATCTTTGCGAAATGAAAAACTGTTCGCTTAAAGAACTACATGTGCTTTTTCATAATCTTGATGTTCGACGAGAAATTATTCAAAATTTGCAACAAGATGTTCAAATACGTACTTCTCATCTAAAGCCTAGTTGTAAAAATTTCAATGTCTATTGCCATGATTTAACAGCACATTCTGCAAGTAATGTTCTGGCTATGGGTGGATATCTTGGAATAACGGTAAATTAACATTAACTTTTAAACAAGATTGTATTTTTCTTAGGTTCGCGGATACTACTACGTCAAACACAAACTCAAACTCTGCCATCCATATTTACCTTGTCTTATTCAATTTGGAGGAGGTCACCATCGATCATTTTATCCTCTTGAATGTCTGAGTGTTATCCGTAACAAGATGAAAGGAGGATGTTCATAGAAAGATATTTAATTTATAAACTTATCAAAATTTTTTAAATCATCCAATAATTTTATTTTTTAGTATACATAAAATATTGTATTTTTTTTATTTCCGAAAAGTAAATATTATGCAAATCGAAAATTGTACTGCTGTTTTCAAACTTCTTCCTTATAATAAACGATTTTCTTATGAAAATTTTATTCAACTTGCACGCCATGGGATAAATACAGAATATAATCCCCGACGATTCCATTCAATAATTATGCGAGTTCGGCATCAGGAATATAAAACAACGGCAGCACTTATTTTTCAATCTGGCAAAGTTGTTCTAACGGGTGTTCCTAACCCTGCATTGGCAAACAGAATGGCTTGGCGTGTAACCAAAAGAATTCAAGCTTCATATAAGGCAACAGGCAATGACTATTCCTATTTAAAAATTGGTGTGAGGAATCTTATCGTTACAAATATTGTTGGTGCTTATCGACATCCAAAAAAGTTGGCAATAGAACAACTTTATTCTTATCTTCGTAAAAGACAACATTTAACTTGTTATTACGAACCAACAATATTCCCAGCACTTCGTTTTAAAACCAAAATAGATGGAAGGGACGGAGAAGCCTCCTGCCTTTGTTATATTTCAGGACGTGTAATACTGACTGGATTAAAATCTCAAAAAGAAATGGAATTTATTTTTGAAAATGATATACTACCATTGCTTGAAAAATTTCCACGATTATAAAATTTATTAAAAAATAAAATATTTACAAATAATATCAGCATAAATTTTTGTGGTGTGGTAAACAAACAAAAAAATTTTACAAAATTATTGATGATATCTAGTTAAATAATCACGATTTGTCCAGTTTGATGAACCTTGAACATCTTCTAAATTGAGAATAGAATCGTCTATCTGTCTAGTTTGCGGTTCAGCATTATGAGGTTGTTCAGGTTGTCTTTGTCGTGGGTGTCCATGATCATTCTGAATTTTAATTTTTTAAATTTTTTAAAAGATATTTAAAGGAAAAATACCGGAATTTCTCTGAATCCAAATGGAAGAGTTTCCATTCCCGGCATTATTCTTCCCTTTTCGTAATAAGGTCTATATTGTTTTGTTGTCATGTGCGTATAAAGCTGTGATCGTCGAGTTCTGCCAATCTGAGGGAATTGCACGCATATTGAATTGCCATTTCCACCAGTCCTGTTGAAGATGTCATCAGCAAGCGCTTCGTCCCTAATTGAAAATTTTGGTTACATTTAAATAAAAGATTAAATTTTACATTATTCCATCAACATCAAAATGTTCAAGCACAATATTTTTCATGCTGTCAAAATTCAGAAGTTGATGTGTAGCATATGAGAGAGGAAAAGACCGGATCTTTAGCTCTGCTCTCTCATCCATCCCTGTATTTGTGTCGACGTGTCTGTAGCCATAGTTCTTTGGGCCTCCAGCAACAAATTCCAGAATTCGACGTGAAGGAATTTCACGTTTCATTTTCCCAAGTGATTCGCCTTCGGGTACACGTGGACCATCAACCTTCCCAACATAGATTAAGGAATCGGTGTCGCAATACAGGAGACGGGCGCCAATTTGATGAACTTTCTGCATGTACTCGTAGAGATGTAAACGAGCATATGAAGTTACAAACGCTGCTACAGGAATACAGTTGGTGTTTGGTGCTTTGGCAAATTCTGCCTTTTTCTGGACTACACATCGATCTAAATGCTCACTAACATGGTCAAAATCGAGCATTTCTGTTGTTGGATCTTCAAATAATTGATGAAATTCTGATGGTGTTTTGGCGTAACGGACTTCAGTTCCACAAACACGCTGTGCAAGTTTGCCCCAAAGTGAGTTTGCCAATAATTTCTAAAATAATTTATTTTACTCTGAGATATTTAAAAAAATACCGCAATCATTCGAAGACCTGGATTGCTCTCAATACGCTCCGGAACCAAACGAACTCCCTCATTACGTTCAAATTCTTCTAAATATTCAGTTCTTTCTAATTGTGAAATACAGCCATCAGGCCAGCCACTTGCTTCTTGTTTTAATCGCACGAATGTATTGACATATGATTGAAAAAGAGTGTCGTCCCATTGATCATAATTCCAAACCTATAATTTAATTTAAATATTTAAAAAGTTAATTGATAACCTCATAAATATCCACGACTTTATACCCATATTCCAAAGCAGCATTCAACTCCACGTGTGTGTAGCCAGTCAACCAGGAACGCTCACGGCTAGAATGCGCACAAGGTCTTTGTTGTTTATCATCGGCGCATTTTGCACAAAGTGGAAATGTGAGCCGGCCATCAAATGTTCGATAAGGTAGTAGAGGAGGAAGATTTCCAGGCAAACATGTTGGAGGCTGCACTCGGACAAGAAGCAATCCTTTATAGATGTTGTGCTCAGGAATTGTCCAAGGCAGGCGGTTGTTGTTGTTGTTGTTTGATGAATCCAATAATGTTTCACGAGTCAAAACGTTAGGATGTCCAATAGGGAAGGGCCTTGACTTCATCACATAGGGATAGAGACTTACCTAAATTGAAAACAGTTAAAATCTAATGAATAAAAATTACAATATCTATGTAGATTATCTCCTCATCAGCCCCACAAAAATGATGAAGTTTGAACGGCTCTGTCCTACCACCTCTCAGACAATCTTCCCTGGGATCAAGTGGACGTACACAATCAATTTCATTCCATAGCCGGCGTAGTTTAGCATTATTTTTTAATTTTTCCATCATCTCATGCCCCCAAATAACATGAAGTTCAAATCCATGCTGGTGTTCCAATTCCCAAAGACGTTGTTGTGTCCGTTCATAAAGTTCTTCAGCAGTACGGCCAGCGGCCAAACGTTGATCCCGACGAGGGAAGCATCTGGGACAGCCTAAATGAAAAGTTTATACAAAAAAATCTATTTTAAAGTACCGTGGAAGTAACAACCCATATATTCAATTGCCAGTGGGCGCTGTGGGGGAGATCGTTGCCAAAGCCCGTCCAATCTATAACCACAGTCTTCCACGTGTGCTTCTCCCATGGCCCATTGTGCATGCTGAACCTTTCCTGCTGCTTCAGGGTTTTGTTGTTCGAATAAGCGGATGTAACGCTGCGATTCAGCAGAGGCACGCCTTCCTCTCAGATACCCTCCTTCAGGGGAATGGACGAGCCAATTCGCAGGCAAGAAACATCTGCGCATAGTTATGAGAGCTAGACCAGCAATGGTTGATGCTTCCAAGAAGGGATCCAGCTTCTGCGTGTGTTGTCCAATAAGCTGTCGAAATCGTAGCACTCCTTCGCGGAGAATAGCAACATCATTAGCACAATAAAGGATTAGTTGTTCACGGAGTTGGAAATTTGTATTTCGATCATTTAATTGTTGTTGGTGCCATTCGAGAAGTGCTGCTCTTTTCACAGAATTTTTATATTCAGGCTGATAATGATGAAGTGGAGGAAGTCCTCGAATTCTATCATGAAGATTTTGCCTTTTTACAAAAAGATAAGGAAAGAAAGGCTTGGATGTTGCTACTTCTTCTGGCACAGAAAAAATTTTTGTTAGAGCATCAAGCTCACAATTGAAGTAATTGAGCGAGTCTTTGAATAAAACTTTTCTTTTGTTGTTTCCCGCTAACTTCATTGAATATATTTTAAGCCCAGTTGTACACAATCTTGATGGGGGCTCATTGCGCCTGTGTAAAGCCTCCAGCACTAGATGAAAGTCGTATTTTCCACCATTATGTGCTATACAAATTGTTAGCATTTGCTGTGACCCATGGTGAAAAAGATAATCAAGAAATTGGTCCACTGGGCTTTCATTTTCGTTATCGAAGGAATGGAAAAACAAACGGCGTGGATTAAATGAAATTTTGCCAGGAAAGGTGGTGTTGTCGCCGGCAGCGTTTTTGAAAGGTGGGGAGCACCAGTTACGCCATCTAGCTCCCCGAGGCTTCCCGCAAAAACATCCTTCGGCACGCTGCCCTGCATCTTCAATTGTAATTCCAACCTTTATACAGTTCTCACAAATTACCTGATAAAAATTTTTATTAAAATAAAAATTAAATGAAAATTCTAATTTGAAAAAAAACTTTAAAATATTACCTCGGCAATTATAAGTATTGGAACATGTATATATCCGTTAATATTGCAGGTAATTTGTATATTTTCATCCTGGCTTGTCTCGGCATCAAAAAAGCAAAATCGTATTGGAGGACGTTTTTGTTTCTTTTGTTGTTTTTGTTGTTGAGGATTTTCTTCATCAGACTCTGAATTTTCTTGAACATTTAAAGGCTGAATATAACATGGTAAATCCTCAGAGTGAGGACCATGACATTTATTACAAATTAAATTTTGTTGTTGTTGTTGAAGACAATCGTGTTGCTGTTGTTCATAAATAATATGGTGACATATGCCACAGATACGTCGCATTTGGCAAATGGAAGCAAAAGTGCGTCGATCGGATCTAATTAATTCTTCAGGGGCAGAATTTATTAGATGATAATCATAACATGGACGGGATGGGAAGATAAATCCACAATTTTGACATGCCACCTTTTCCTCAATCTTAATTAATTAGTATTTAATTAAAAATCCAAGAAAAATTAAAAAATTTTTGTTACATTTAATTAAAATTTACCTGGCAAGGGAAATTAGCACCTGATCGCATGCAGAATCTACAAACAACACTACACCCGGACCAATGTTTCCAACGGGTATAAGAACGTTCGCAATCGATACAAAAGCGTTGCACAGAAAAAAGTTGTTCAGGGCGTCCAATATAATGATAATGCCCATTTTCAAGGAGTAAACATAAATTGTATCGTGCTGCTCTGCCATCACCCTTATAGACTATTCTATATTGTTGTTCCTTTTGAAAGACAACAATACGTACGTAACCTTCACCATCAAAGTGTTGGTTAAGCCAAAGTTGCAAAATTGCCACATGTTCAAGAGAATATGCCTGAAATTGAAATATTTTATAACTTTAAAAAATTGGTTAAACAATAAAATATACCATAAGTCCAAAATCAAGTCCTGCATTTCTCATTAAATTTTCTGCTGGGAATAAATGTTGTTGCTGTTGTTGACAAAATTCTTTGAATCTAGCGGCTCCGTTGGCAACGCCTTGATCCACCATCCTAATTCTTGCCAGACCGATAACTACTGCACGAGCAAGGCAGTATCTGTCGTTTGGATTGTGAACGCGCACAATCGATCGGCAACGGGACGATAAAACATGGTCGACTTCCAAATCACAACTACCTGTAGGAAAATAGCAGCCTTATATTTGAATAAAAAATATAAGACTAGTATCGACCTACCAGATCGGGCATCAGGATTACTAGTTCTTTGCGCATTTAATGGCCAAACTCCCACGACCTTTGTCACAGTTGTCCCACTTAACAAATCTATGCCAGCGGCAGAGATTTCGTTCAGTCGTTCAATCGCTGCGGCCAAGGCTGCAGGATTATTCTGGTCCAGTGGGCGAAGTGGAATTGTAAATGCATGTTGGAAATTCGGTGGATGCACCTGAAGACCAACACGAAGGGGTGCTGGTCTTCCGGCGAGCACCCGATCTAGCAAATGACTTATTAGAACGGTCATTGCTAAATCGGGTCTCTGTTGATCTTCAAGCGGGTTGAATCGTATATGGCAAATTTGGCCAAAAGTATTTCGTGAGCGTGAATTGAATTCGGTGACTCGCTCAATTGTGAAGTAGTTGTTGTTGTTCATGTTAATGTCCTGAATTTATATTATTATTATTATTTATCCATTCATTTAGTTATTTATTAAAAATCCATAAACAGATTAGCACACCTAGACATTAATCCTTGTATACCCCTTAGAGCGACGACGTGGGTTTTAACTACTTAATATTGATTTAAATGGAAAATTAATAACAAATAATTTCATAATATTTACTTAAAATAATTTAAAAACAATTTATAGCTGAAGCATTAACTATTTAAGGCAATAAAGATAAAGGCTAAAATAATTTCAGAAATTTAAGGTTTATATAATTAAAGTTAAAAATAAAATAAATTAAAAATATTAAAATTAAAAAATTAAAATATTAAAAATATTAAATAAATTAAAATTAAAAATAACAAAAAAATATTGATAATCAAGCTTTTTTTTTTTGAAAATATTTATAATATAATTTTTTAAAACTATGTATGATATAATTTTTAAAGAGATATATTTATTATAAATATGTTGCAAAAATTTTAAAAACCATTTAGATATAAAAAAATTGAGATTTGGACAAAAATATTATATAATTAGATAATAAAAAATATATAATTTTTATAAAGTTAATTGAAAAATGAATTTTTTAAATTATATATTTTTAAAAATATTACACCTAAATACGACCCAAGACTTAAAATAACGTATAGTCCAATAAAAACTTAATACCGATTTAGAACTAGACTATTCGTTATTTTCAGTCCTAGGCCCCATCTCTTGACGACATAACGGACAAAAATTAAAATTTCGTGATAAATTCCAAAAACATTTGCGATGGATTTTATGATTACATTGTAAAATAATAATATTTTGCTGTGGGGCGAATTCCATATTGCAAGGTCCACACAATGTCCCGTCAGAAATAAAATTACTAGGCAATTTAATGCTTGAATTCATTATTGTATCTCTTCGAGCCATTGATAACCCACCAGGCGCAATATAGTGATCGGATACATGACCTTGACCTCTATACATTTCAGCAAATTCTCTTTCCTCATCACGAATTACACGCGGAATAGAATAATTAAGAGGGGGTGGTGTGTGCCCGGCCGTGCTCAAAATATCACGCAACTAATAAAAAATACACTTATATATTTTAATTTAATTACCCGAATTGGTTGTTGAACATTTCTACTTGCATTTTGTTCAGAGGCCGAGGACTGAAAAATTAATGTTTTATTTAAATATAAAAATTAAAAAAATTAGATACACTTGTATATTTTAATTTAATTACCCGAATTGGTTGTTGAACATTTATACTTGCATTTTGTTGGGAGGCCGAGGACTGAAAAATTAATGTTTTATTTAAATATAAAAATTAAAAAAATTAGAATTTAAAAAATTTTAAAATTTTTTTAAATTTTAGAAATTTTAAAAATTAAAAAAATTTTTAATAATTAAAATTTAAAAATTTAAAAAAATTTTTAAAAATTAAAAAGATTTAAAAAATTTTTTAAATTAATAAAAAAATTAAAATTTAAAAAATTTTTTAAATAATTATAAAAAAATAAAAAAATTTTAAAAATTAAAAAGATTTTAAAAATAAAAATTTTTAAATTTAATTAATTTATTAAATTTTTTAAATAATTTTTAAGCATAAAAATATATAATTTAACTTATCTAATACTTTTTTAAACTATGAATAATTATTTCTATCATCAGTTTAGCAGCAAATTTAATTTAATTTAATTTAAAGCTAAATTCAATAATAAGAGAAATTTAATAAAAATTTTTTGTTTTTAATATAAAATTCATATTCAAAAATTCATATTTAATTTTATTGAAAAATCAATAATAAAAGATAAATCAAACCTTTAAATAAAGTAATGATTAATATTCTATAATAATTTATTAAATGAATTGTAAATAAATTTTTAATTATATTTAATAACAAAATTTATATTTAATAAAAATTTATATTCAATAAAAATTTCAAATTTAAATTCAAAAATTCAAGGATAAATATAATGATAAATATTATATATCTTTTTAAATGAAATATTAAAAATTTAATTTTTTATGTAATTTAATTTTTAAATTAAATATATTCAATAGCAAAATTTATGTTTAATAAAAAATTTAAGTAAAAACATTAATTTTAATCAAAAATTCAATAATAGATTATAAAATACAATGTTAAAGAAATTTATAATTATATTCAATAACAAAATATATGTTTAATAAAAATTTATATTAAATGCAAAATTCATATAAAGTTTTATTGTAAATTCAATAATAAACGTAATGATTAATATTTTATAATAATTTATTAAAAGAAATATTAAAATAATTTTTAATTATATTCAATAAAAAATTCATATTAAATTTTATTATATAAGAAGATCTATGTAAATGAAATATTACAAAAGTAAATAATATTTAAAAATATTAAATTAATGATTTTTATTAAAAAATTTTTTATTGAGAAATTGAATTACAAATTTAAATAATTAGTTAATGAAAATTTGAATTTTTTAAATTAAAAGTGAAAATCGTAAGTTTTTTTTTCAAAAAATTTAACCCACATATGCCACATCATCCTCTTCTTCATCTTGAGCAGGGCCTGAACCAGTTTGCGAAGCATATATAACAGCAGAAGAAGATGGCCCTGTCTCTATAGAATTGTTTTGTTGTCTTTGAATAATTTCTATTTTGGACGATGCAATAAATTTAAATTTTATATCGACAGTGCCAGTCCATTGTTGACGAGGCCCGGTTTCTGGGACCACCAGTAAATTTTTAAATTTAACAATCTAATAAAAAAATTTTATTTAAAATTTTTTAATTTAAATTTTTTTTTTCAAAATTTTATATTAAAAAAAAATTTTTTTTCAAAAATTACATCATGTAGTTTTGCTTCTTGTAGACGATCAGAATAATTCTTCCAAGAAAATATAGAAATTGTTTCTTTTTCTCCTTCTCTGCCAATTTGAACGTGGCAATCCGTTCGATCCCAACCGTGCTTCGGAGTTGGCCCCCTATGTGTAAAAATTACTTCCCCAACCAACTCCCTTAAAAATTTTAATTATTATTTTTTTTAATTTTAAAAAATTTACGGGAAGATATTGTCTTTCTGCCATCCAATCATGAAAAGATCAGTGTTTGTCAAATTAGAAACACTATCAATTGAGTTGATGAAACGAGCAGCTTCTGGTTGACTGCTATTTAAACGTTGCTGTCGTTTTAGTGCAATCTTAAATTAAAATTAAAATTAATTTTTTTAAATGTTTAAATTTTTTCAAAATACAAAATTTAAAAAATTTACTTCGGCCGCCACTTCTAGGCGCATTTGACTTTGTTGTTGTTGTTGTTGCTCATTAATATTATTAGCAGGCATCATATTAGCAGGCATCATCTTTAATTGTTAAAATTAAAAAAAATTAATGATTTTATATTATTTTTTACTAAAACTATTTTGTTTTAAATTTTAAAAAATTTATTTATAATAAAAATTTACTTGGTGCTGATTAATTGTATTTGTTGTAGTAGTTGGTGTAGTTGAAGTAGTATTAGCAGAAATTGCTTGAATTACCTTTAAAAATTAATTTGAATTTTTTTAAAAATTTATTTCTGATAGAAATTTACTTGGCGCTGATTAGTTGTAGTAATTGAAGTTGTATTAGCAGAGATTGCTTGAGTTACCTTTAAAAATTAATTTGAAATTTTTAAATAAATTTTTTAAAATTAGATGTGTTTATATATTTTTAAACTAATAAAGGCTCTAAAGTTAATGATTTTGTATTATTTTTTATACTAAAACTAGTTTGTCTTAAATTTAAAAAAATTTATTTAAAAAATTTACTTGGCGCTGATTAGTTGTAGTAGTTGAAGTTGTATTAGAAGAGATTGCTTGAGTTACCTTAAAAATTAAATTGAAATTTTTAAATAATTTTTTAAATTAGATGTGTTTATATATTTTTAAATTAATAATGGAAAACTTTACATTTGTGTTTGCCGGCAGACGGAGCTGATTATTTAAATAATTTTCTATTAGTCGTTGATCGGCAGGAATTGTTGGGCCTGGTGACGGTGTTGTAGATTCAATTATTCTGCTGCGACGTGCCGGGGGGCCGGGGCTAGATGAGGGATTTCCACGGCGTCTATTTTGATTTGTAGAGCTTGATGAATTAGTACGCGGCATAATTTAAACTTTGAAAAAGATTTTTGAATAAATGAAATAGAATTTAAAAAATTAAATTTAAAATTAATTAAACTAAGTAAAACAAAAATTTCTCAAATAAAAATGGTTAATTAAATAAGTTAATGATTTTATTTACTGAAAAATTTTATTACAAAAATAAGAATGATTTGTGGTAAATTAGGAAAGAGAAATTTTTGTTTTTACAGAGATTTAATCTAATGCTTTTCTTTCATTGGAAACCTTTTTTTTTTGGTTGGAAAAAGTTTGGAATGTAACACTCGGATGAGCGCAAGAGACATTTTTTATTAAAACGCAATAAAGCTAAAATTAATGCAAGACAGAAAAACGCAAAGATCCTTGCGCTCACCAATGACAAAGATCAAATAAAAAATTAAATAATGTAAAATTTTGTTTTTATCATTTTAAGCACCTTCTTTAACGAGGTGTTAAGGGAGTAGAACCAGCTGCCAAAATAAATCCTTGTTTTGTCGTTGTTCTTGTTGTAGCAATTTCAAACCGTTGTGGAGCTAAAGAATGATTTTAATATGAAAAATTTAGTTTATAAAAACCCCATATCAATAGTTTAATTTGGATTTATTTTTAAATTAATCCTGGTTTTTGTTCAATAAATTCTGGTTTTTTGATATATAAATTCTAGTATGTATTTTGTCTCTGATTTTTATTTAATTCTGATTTGTAAATGTTTTTATCCCACCTTAGCAACAAGCATAGAAATAGCAATCATTGCTGTTGAGAAAAACATTCCGAACATTCAGTTAATGTTAAGAGTTCCACGTCCAAAGCGGAGATGTTCAACCTTTAAAAATTTTTAATAGTAACATAAAGCTTTCCAATATTTTACCAAATAAACAGACACAGCAGTCATTAAAACATTTATAGCAACCATTGCAATTGTTGCATAATTTGGCCCTTAAAACAAAAATTCAAAATAGTTCGTTAACAAATTTTTTAAAAAAAACTCTCACATTGTTCTTGAGACCGGTTCCCTTAAAAATACATAGCAATTGACTAAAACATTCCTAAAATATAATTTTTAAAAACAATTCCTCAAAAATCCCACCAACGTTAATTCCACTCAATTGCTGAGAAATCATCATAAACAAAACAAGTACCAAGGGCCATGGAAGTTTGGTACCATAAATGTCTTTCTTAGAGGAAGGAGCTCCAGTATAAGCTTTTGAAGCCTCTCCAGAAATTAAGTCAATTTCAGCTTGGACCTATAAATAAATCAGAATTAAATCAAAATTTTGGTTCCAAAGCTGGTTTGGTAATTAAAAATTCTGTTTTTTAAAATTATAATTTTGATTTTGCTAATTAATAAATTAAAAACAAACATCTTCACTCTCACGAAGTTTTTTCAAGTCTTTCTCTGCTTGATCTCTTTGACCTTTAACAACAATAGTGGATTCAGGAGTTTCAGAGTAGAATGTAATTGTGCACAGTTGAACAGGAACAGAAACCTTTGAAAAATAAATAAACATTAAAAAGGATTTTTGAGTGAAAAATTAATTAAATTTCCATTTTAAATAAACTTTAAGAGAAATACAGGCAGAATTATTACCGGTGTAAGCATTGGAATGGCGGCAGATTGTCCAGGAGTTCCCGACCTTTGCATTGCTGCTCTAGCACGTAATAATTCTACGCCGGGCTGTTTAAAACAAGGATCAAACTGTGCAGCATAAATACGGGCAGTGTCGCCATCATCCCTTGCTCGATCAGCAGCTTCAACGCTAGTATCAGCGCGTTCCTAAAAATAATTTTTTAATAAAAAAACATTTTTAAGGAATACTTGTGCTGTCATTGTTCTTAATGTAGCAATTTCAACACGTTGTGCAGCTAAATTTAATTTGAAAAATTTTTTTTATTTAAGTAAAAAACCCATATCAGCAGCTTGCCTAGCATGCTCAGCATAAATTTCTACTCGATGCCTCAATTTTGTTTAACGGACAAAAAGTATGCCTTTCCGTCTAGCTGGGCTAACAAGAGCATTGTGTTTATATCTTCCTTCTTTACTGCAAAAAATTTTTTTAGAAAATTTAAAAAACTTTAGAAAAAACGAACGTTCCGTCTCTAACCATCCCCCAGCATAACGAAGACCGTCTGAACGTTCACAAACACCAAAACCGGAGCGCATATCATTTTTCCATTCACCTCGGTAAATTTCAACAGCGTTTGCGTCGATTGGTGCTTCTTTAATGTTGCTGCCTAAATTTTTAGAAATAAAAGTTAAACATTAATTAAATCAAAAAGGAATGATAGTACTTTAAGGGAAGCGGAATAACCTAAAAGAGCAGAAAATAGTACTCAACTCGTGAGGAAAACTCTTAAAAACTGATTCCGCCCCTCCTTGCTAGTAGTACCAAATAGAGGTTTTGGATCGGAACCCACACGAAAAACTGAGGATTTTTCGGTTCGGTTTCGGATATCTAAAAATTTTCAAAGAACCGACGACCCAGTGACAAATAATCTACTCGAAAATATTTTTAAAAAATGAAACCTCAGCAGCAACTCGAGAACGTTGAGAATTTTGAGGATGCCTCAAATCACTCGAATCTTCTTCATCAGAAGTACAGCTTAAAGTACTTCTACTTGAACGAAGTGAAGAAGCGCTACCAGCAGACGAAAATACTCTTTGTTGGTGAATAAAGTCTCCAGTTGAATTTTGTTTTCTAATTCGTTGAAGAATGCCTTAAGAGATGATAAAAATTAAATAAAATTAAGGCAAGATTTTCAAACTTCTTTTCACTGCCAATGAACGCTCCGAGAGAGAACGGCGTCGTTTGTTAGTACCCGAATAAACTTTTGAAAAATTTATATCATTTTTATTTTCTGTTCCAACCTAAATTTTTTTGAAAATTTTTGAAATTAAAATTTTAAAAAATTACAATTAAATTAAAGAAAGAGGGAAAGGCAGGAATACTTTCACCTCCTTCAGCATTTTTAAATAAATTTGATAATTGCATTGAGGTTTAAGTCCTTTAATTCGAAAATCACCATAAAGTTGATCTATTAAACTTCTTCCTTAAAAAGGATAAAATTGATTGGCATTCAGAAACAATAAAAGCAAGAAATAGTTAAATAAATTTCTCATTGTCAGCTTATTGTTAGACAGCCCGTCTCAAATGGATAAAAACAATACTTCGACTTTTAGCCATATTTTAGGGAAAACCAATAAAATTTAAAAAAACCTGATGATTCTCACATCCAACAGAAATAGCCTCAACACGAATTGGAAATTTAAAAGGCCTACTTCCAATTGTTGAAACTTTTCCAAAAGCACTATAATAAGAGTAATTAAAATTTATTTACAATTTTAAAAAACCTGTAAGCAATTCTTTTTGCTTCCAAAATTAATTCCTTTTCTTCTCCTTCATTTATTTGAACAGAAAAAGAACTCGAATTAAATTTATATTCTTGTAATATGGACGAATAAAATAAGATCCAGGCATCTTTAAAAAAATTATTTTTTTCAAAATTAATTTTTAAAAAAAATCCCAACCAATCCAATAAATTTCAAAAGTCCAGTTTCAACACCAAGGTCGTGCCGTTTCCCATTCTGTCATTAGCCAGAATTCCAGAAGGCCCAGTATAAGCGCCACAAACCTAAGAAAAATTAAAAAAAATTTTTATAAGAACACAACCTCAAATCCATAGTGCCATGCTCCAGTAAATTCTTACTGTCCATTAGGCCTGTACAAACACCAGGTCCATGTGCTTTTCTATAAAATAAAAAAAGTATTTTCCTTATAAAAAATAATTTTTACCCTTCCTCCCAACCACCACATTATGTCCCGCCATCGTCAAAATCAAAACGGCCACCGGTCATATGCTGGTTGCTGCCCACCCACCCTCCCCGAACACTACAAATTCAATGTCTAACAATTAGACATTTCAAAAAATTAGGTTTTACCCTAAAAATAATTTAGAAATCTCAATATTAAAAAAATTTTATTCTTTAAATGTTTGTTATGTAGGGCGAAAATGTGTGAAAAGCAAGCCGCTAAAGAGAAGAGCCCCGCAGTGCTAATCAATATGATTCTTTCGTTAGATGAGAGTTTCTCTTTTCAATAATACCAGTTGAGTCGCAATTTTGGGCGGGGGGTAACTCGAGTAAATCCCACTCGCGGAACAGACACGACGCGGAACGACAAGTCACCGAATTATCAACTCACGGAACGACCAAAACACGGAATATTTTATAAATCAGAATATTTTTACAAATCAGAATTTTTTACCCTCCCTCTTTTAAAATATTCTAATTTCTTTAGAAAGTCTTATTTTTTAAAAATATTCAGATTTTTTCAAAAATTCCAATTTTTAATATATTCCGTGAATTGACCTGTCCCTGATTATAACAAAGGGTTTATGTTAACTAAATAACCTATTTTAATAAAGCTTCCCTGTGGCGGAGTCGGTAGTGTCTCCGCCTTTAGGCTAAGAGTCACCGGATCGACTCCGCCACAGGGAACTTATTTTTAAAAATGGCGTTTTGGCAAATGGTGTTTTGACTTGTACCATTTTGTCACTTGCATTTTAGACAGTGACAAAAGGTTTAAGATGAGTCATCACACTTCTATTTTCCCCGCACGTTCCTTTAGGGGCGGGGCAAAATCAATCAATAAATTAATAATGATCCTAATGTAGTTCTGACTTGCCCATATCGGCCAAGTCTTTTCTCTATCTACGGCTGGCTAGAAGCTGTGCTTGCCCACTTTTGACCAAGCGATCTTCTCCCTATCTTTTGCGTTTGCGCACAAAACTCTTTTCTATTGAATCGGGCCTGACTAGTTGGCAGTCAGTCCCGGACAACCCAATTGATCACCTATCCATTTTCTCTCTCTATTGATCACACTCATTTAATTTATATTATTTTTCTATTAAATATTTTAATTGTTTATTGTGTTTGGTGAATTTGTCTCTTGGAGATTAAATATCTCCGTCGACCATTTCAAACAAGGAATAGACTCGCGAGATCCCGAGTTATTCCTGTCCCTCCTCTACAGAACTAACGAGGAATTGTGCACCCTACATTTTCCGCACATGAAGATAATAAAGGACTATTAAATATTTGGGGTATAAATTAGAAAGGAATGAAACCCAGATTTACTCTTGTTATGTTTTGAGATTCGTGGACCGCGAAATTTTATTTTGGTCGACATCAACTATAGACCCTTTCATCTGTTCCATATCTATCAAGAAATTTAAATTTTTTACTTGCCTGATTAAATTATTTTTAAAAATACTCAATAATTAAGAAAATCTATTCGATTAATTTTAGCGAATTCATTATATCTAATTAAACAGAAGAGAAATATGCTGACACCTAATGACCCGGTAAAATTTTTATTAATTAAATGTAAAAATTTTAATAAAAGGTAAATGTCCGGTTGGTGTCCTACATGTCCGCAAAGAGAATGCGCATTTTTCCTTCCTTTTCTTGCATTTTTTTCTGCAAGGTGTGGCGCCCATTTTTCCTTTGTGTATGGTAGCCTTATGGCATGTCGAAGGAAAGAGGGAAAATAATAAAAATTAATTACTAATAGAGTACTCAATTTAATACTAATAAAGTTATTATAACTAATAATGTTAGATTGATTTACAAACAGAATTAATTCACTTTAGGTTTAGATCAGTTAGGATATCAACATCAACAGTAAATCATCAACTATTTTTTATGAATCCAGTAAACGGTGCAAATACACAGCAGATTGAGAATTCTGGAACAGATTAAGTTTTCGAATGGATTAAGATTACCACAGATATTTTAAAAATCTATTTGAGAATGTTGTCCCAAATTTTCATCTCTGATCATTTATAAAATAAAATATTTATTTGTACTCTATTAGTAGTAATTAATTTTTATTATTTTCCCTCTTTCCTTCGACATGCCAAAAGGTTACCACACACAAAGGAAAAATGGGCGCCACTCCTTGCAGAAAAAAATGCAAGAAAGGAAGGAAAAATGCGCATTCTCTTTGCGGACATGTAGGACACCAACCGGACATTACCTTATTAAGGATACGAAAAAACTTAAGCCCCCGAATATTCAAAAGTCACGTTCTTTGGTTAGCTTAGAATCCAAAATATTCCCCTGAGGCAGAGAAAGGGAAAACCGGACAAAAGTTCGGTTTGGTTTCAGGGAATCCGCAAGCACGTTTTGAATTTCTACAGATATCCCAGACCATCATTCAGGAAAACTAAAAAGCTTTTGAATTTTTATAAAAATACAGTATGTATTTCAACTAATTTTTTATTTAATAATAGGTCTTCAATTATTATAATACAACGGGAACTTTGTATATTCTCACAGCCAAATATGGCAGTATTGCATTCCTAAGTTTCATAGCGTTTTTATTAAATTCGTTTATGGTCTATACAACATGGAAAAATAAGTTTGTTTAGTTATTATTTAAATTAACTAATTGGGGAATTCTGTGCTTAAAATGAATATAAAAAATGGAAATTTAAATAAATTTATCAAAATTTTGAAATTAGGGGTTAATCAAAAGCTCAGTCAACGTGAATAACAGAAACGAGGCCTTTTAGTGGTTAATCCTGGAGTTTTTCTCCTCATATTAATCACCTCCGTTGTATGTAAATACGACTCGATAATACTGTGATTCTTTTATGGATTTAAAAAAATAAATGTAAGGATCTGTTAGAAAAACTGTTTTTGGAACTACCTATACATTGCGGAAGGGAACACTGGGGAATGCCAGAGATGTTTTGATGTTATTCCTTCAAATTTTGACTTTCTGGTAATATTGTCCTTGTTTGTAGATTTTTTGTTTTGAAGCAACTCTGGGACTAAAATTTTTATCTGAGCATAAAATGAAGCTCTGGGACTGAAATTTTTATCTGAGAATAAAATGAATTTATTTTATTTTAAAAAACAAGAAAATTTTTTAGATGCTTCCATTATCGTTGTAATATCTACATTGCACTAAATTCTCTATTTACCTTACCTCTCCACTTTGGAATGAGTGTTAAATTTATTATTCTACTATCAGGAATTAATTTTATTAGTCTTCTTTCTTGCTATATAATTCAAGTCATTCCTTTAACTTTTACAACATTTGCAACTCAAATTCAATTTTATATTGGATTTGACAGGTTGCTGAGTATTGCTTTTCCTATCTGGTAATTTTAAATTCTTATACATAAGTGTTTTTGGGACCATTAAAAAATTGTAAACTGGATTCATAAACAATGCAAATGCACCGAAGAGAGGCGTATGAAGACATAGAGTGATAGGGGCCATACTCTAGATAGGCATGAATTAAAACTGAAGAACCATTTAATTTTTAAAGAAATTATTAATGGGTAAAAAATTTATTTATCCAATAATTTCAGGTATAGATTCAAAGATGCTTATATATCTGTGAGTGTAATAGCTATACTTACAATTATCAGGACAAGTCGTACATGCTGGAATTTTTTAAGTATGGCAATTCAATTCCCTGAAAGGTATTACATTTTGTATAGAATTTAAGCAGGGTTGCGCACCGACCCCGTTCCCGAAATATTTTTTCACATTTATACTACTCCAAATCTACCGATATCACTATGATCCTCCGATATCTTTCCAAATCTTCGATATACAGCAAATGCACCCTTATCCCTCAAATTTATCCCTCAAATCCTCCGATATTTGGGATTAAGAGAGACCCCGATACCTGTCAACTCTACTCAAAAATAACGCAAATCTCTAAAGCATTCTTCTCTAAAATAAGCCCACTTTAAAAAATAATGTATAGTGCTTTAAATAAAATACGGTAATTAACATACTCTAGATTTATTACCAGACCAACAATGTGTGCTACAGGAGATTTGCTTCAACCAGAAATTAGTCAAGAGACTCTTGCAACTGCAAATATCTATAATTTGTTAACAGTTGCTTATTATGTGACTATTTGGATATTAATGACTATTAAAAAGCAAGACAATTCTAATAGTAAACGTT